GGCCTCCCCTTCCCCGGAAGTGGGGCGGGGGCTGGGCCTTTCCCTCCCCCTGGGCTGGGTTGGGGGGCAGGACGTACCCTCCCCCTGGGCTGGGTTGGGGGGCAGGACGTACCCTCCCCCCCGGATCCTGGGGGCTGCACTGAGCTCTGGCTGCTCCTCTGTTCCCGATGGATCAACAGGAACCTGAGAGAAAAGAGGAAGTGGGGGGCTGGGGGCTCCACGGGCTGGGCCCCTCTAGGGCGCCCAGGCTGCAGCCCCCCATAGCACCCCCCGGCCATCCCACCTCCCCCCCTGCAACACCTGCCTGAGGTCCCCCCACTGCCCCCCTTGTGCCCTGTCCCCCCCCCCAGTCCCCCGGGCACTCACGCCAGGACTCCGGGGGGCAGCGCGGTGCCGGGGGGCAGGCCGTGGGGCTGGGGGCTCACACACGCCTGCAGCGGTTCCAGCAGGGCCTTCCAGAACCGTGGCACCAGCTGGGGGCACAGGGGAGAAGGGGTTAAATGTGCTGGAGACCCTGTGCCAGGTGGGGGGGGCCCAGCCCCACTCCCCCTCTGGGGGGCCCAGGATGCTACCCGCCCCCCACACCCACCTCGGTCTCCACGGTGTGCAGGGCAGGGCTGGGCCCGCAGATCAGGCAGGCCTCCAGGCCGGGCAGCAGCTGGCAGGTGAGGAGCCGGTGGGGGACCTGGGGGGGGGCATTGTCAGACAGAGACCTCTGGCCCCCCAGCCCAGCCCCTCTGCGCCCCCCTGACATCCAAACCTCTCCCCTGTCGCTGCCAGCCCACCTGCCAACCCCCCATAACACCCCCCCATCCTGACCAGCCCCCCTACCACCACCCCCACCCCGTCCAGCCTGCACATCTCTACTTCCCCCTGCGCGCTCACCGTGGGGCTGCCATGGGGCAGGTAGATGGGGTAGTCCCGCGCCGCGTGGGGGGGCAGCGAGCCCACCAGCCAACTCAGCAGCAGCAGCTCCTGGGGGGCCAGTTGCCACCAGGGCTCCGTGGCCAGCGCCAGCCGGCCCCCGGCCACCAGGCAGCCAAAGCGGCTCTCGGCCGCGGCCACGAAGGCTTCCAGGCACTCCTGCCACACAGGGAGAAAAGCAGGGGGGGGTCGGGGGGGTGGCCCTTCCCCAGGACCCTCCCACCCCCAGCTGGGGACCTTGGGGGACCAGGCACCCCCCCAGAGTGGGGTGACCCCCCAATCCCGATACCCCTGCTCCCCACAGCTCTGAACCCCAAGAACCTGGGGGCAGAACCCGCCCCCATGAGATCCCTCCAGGGTTCCCCATACCCAGAGACCCCCAGGGTCGTGTGGCTCCTTTGCCTGTTCCACAGACCCCCGCCGCAGGGTTCCCCCTACCCAGGGCAGGGGATGGTGGGAGGGGTCCCCAGAGGGTCTCTATTCCCAGGGTTGCTGGGGGGGGGTCTCACCTGCAGGGCGGCGCCGTGGGGCACAGGGACACACTCCACACACTGCGTCAGGTCCCCGCTCCGCTCCAGGGGCGCCAGGAAGCTGTCAATCAACTTGTAGCAGGCCTGGGGGTGGGTGGGCTGGTGAGGCCGGGAGCGGCCAGGCGGGGAGGGGGCTGCAGGGTTCAGCGCCCCCCACCCCCAACTGCTGCGGGTCAGCCCCACGGCCTCTGTCTGTCCCCAGATACAGGGGCAGGATGTCACACCACGGGCTGGGACTGCTACCCCACAACACAGGCCACTTCCACGCCCTATGGGGCCCAGGCTGGTGGGCAGCCCCCCCCCCCCAAGCCCAGGGGGCCCCAGTCTCTCCCTCCCGGGGCCCAGGCTCCAGGGGGGTCCCCGTCTCCCGCCTCTGGAGCCCAAGTCCCCACTCTCCCCCCAGGGCCCAGGCTCAGGGGGCCCCAGTCTCCTCCCCCCAGGGCCCAAGCTTGGGGGGTTCCAGTCTCCCCCCAGGCTTGGGGGGGTCCCTGTCTCCTGCCCCCAGGGCCCAGGCTCAGGGGTCCCAGTCTTGTGTGGTCCCACTCTCCACCCCAGGGCCTGGGCTCAGGGGGGACCCCAATCCCCCCACTCACCCTCAGGTCCTTTTTGAGGCGTTCAATGTTGCGGACGTTCACCAGCTCCTCCAAGCCCAGGATTAGCACCTGGAATGAGTCCCCAGGCTGGTCAATCGTGTCCCCCCCCCCACCCCCTGCACAGGGCCGGGTGGAGAGCGGGGGGAGGGGGAGCATCGGGGGCAATTCCTGGCCTCCTGGCATGTTCCAGGGACCACTGGGGTAAAACCAGGATCTGCTGGAGGGGGTCAATTCCTCTCCCCCTGCTCCATGCCCCAAAGGGTGGTTGGGTGGGGGGTCCACTGACGGGCATCATGGAGGGAGGGACACAGGGCTGGGGTGACCCTGTGTGGGGTAGACTGCATGGGGGGACTGGGCCAGGGGAGGGAGGTGGGTTCAGCTCGGGGATCGTAGAGGGAAGGGCACAGGACCTGGGGCGCAGGTGCAGGGCTGGGGGGCGGGGACATAGGAACTGTCACCCAATGGTCCCTTTGTAACTCCTCGCGGGCTGCTTTGGACTCGGCCGCCTCCCTGGTTCCCCCTTTTCCCAGCTCCCTTGTCACCGGCTCCCTGAAAGTCTAAGGACACTGGCTCCCCCTTGTCCACTTGTGTCGACCCCCTGGAAGAATTCTAATAGATCGGTGAGGCGTGATTTTCCTCTCCAAAAGCCAACACATCACGTTCGTCTCGGTGCCTGATCACGCTGTTCTTTACCACGGTTTTAACCAGTTTGCCCGGTACTGAAGTTAGGCTCACCGGCCTGGAATTGCCAGGATCGCCCCCGGAACCTTTTTGAAAAATCGGCATCACGTGAGCTACCCTCCAGCCGTCTGGGCCAGAGGCGGAGTTAAGCGATTGGTGACACACCCCAGTGAGTAGTTCGGCAATTTCATCTCGTAGTTCCTGCCGAACTCGGGTGATTCCCAGCCGGGCCTAGGGACCTGTTCCTGGTTAATGTATCACTTTATTCCCAAACCTCCTCTACCGACACTCAATCTGGGGCAGTTCCTCAGATCTGTCACCCAAAAAACATGGCTCGGGTTTGGGAGTCTCCCTCCCATCCTCTGCAGTGAAGACCGACGCAAAGAATTCATTTGGCTTCTCCGCCACGGCCTTGTCTTCCTTGAGTGTTCCCTTAGCACCTCGATCGGCCAGTGGCCCCACTGATTGTTCGGCAGACATCCTGCTCCCAGAGCATTTCACAGTCCCCTGGGGGGGGCACATGCCAGGTTGGGGGTTCTGGGGGGGGGGGTGGCAGGGGCTCACCATAGCGCTGAAGGCGTTGTCCAGCAGGCGCCCCAGGGCAAAGTCGCTGACTCCTTCCTCCGACGACAGGACGATAAGGGTGATGCTGGAAAAGTTGGGGTGATGCTGGGACTCATGGGGGGGCAGCTGCTCCTCACTCCACCCCCCTGCCTGGGGGAACCAATCCCCAGCCCCTCCCCCCCCCCAGGGCCAGCATCTCCTGCTACCAGACTTCCAGGGCCCTCAGCTCCCAGCCTGCCCCTGCCACCCTGCTGCCCCCTGACCTGTTGTGGAAGACCCTCCACACCACGTGGGTGTTGGTGGTGCAGGCTGCCGTCAGCAGGACGTCCAGGTTCGCCCCGAACATGTGCACCCCATTCAGGGAGCCGATCACCGAGAAGGGCAGCTGGGGAGAGAAGGCGGGGGGGAAGGAAGTGTCACTCAAAGGGAATGGGCCAGGGAGCCAGGACTCCTGGGTTCTGCCACCAGCTCTGGGAGGGGAGTGGGGACTAGTGGTTAGAGCAGGGGCTGGGAGCCAGGACTCCTGGGTTCTCTCCCCTGGCTCCGGGAGGGGAGTGGGGTCTGGTGGTTAGAGCAGGGGAGGGGGGCTGGGAGCCAGGACTCCTGGGTTCTCTCCCCGGCTCTGGGAGGGGAGTGGGGTCTAATGGGTTAGAGCAGGGGGAAGCTGGGAGCCAGGACACCTGGGTTCGCTCTCTGGCGTGAGAGGTAATTAGCATTTGGGGGTGGGGGTGTTTCTAGGGGAACACAGCTCTTCTCCCCAAACCTAATCTCTTTCCTTCCTATAACCCCCCCCCCCACATATTCTAGGGTTAGGGGGCACCAGCCCCACGGGGCAGGGGAGGGGCAGGGCCTCACCTGGTGCTTGGAGGGCGCCCCCATGCTGCGGCAGAACAGGGGGACCCCGCTGCTGGCTGTGAGGCAGAGCAGGGTGACGGAGCCCCCCTCCTCCCCCATGGCCCCTCCCCCCAGTGGGGCCCGGCCCTGGCTACCCCCTGAACTCTGTCCCTTGGGGGGAGGGGAGGTGCCTGGTGCCCCCCAGGGGCCTGCAGGCCCCGCCCACTCACAGGCCCCGCCCCTACTCCTCCGGCACCGCCCACTCACAGGCCCCGCCCCCTCCGCGGGCCCCTCCTCCTCCGACACCGCCCACTCACAGGCCCCGCCCCTTGCCTTGCCGGGGCCCCGCCCCCTCCGCAGACCCGTCCTCCTCAGGCTCCGCCCCCCTCCAGCCCCCCGCCCGCCGGCACCTCCTGCTCAGGGCCTGGCCCCGCCCCTCCCTAGGCCCCGCCCCTCGTCGCTGCGGCCCCGCGCGCGCCGCTCCCCGCCCCCGCCCCAGCCCGCTCCGGCTCAGCCCCGAGCCGCGGCCATCTTGGCGCCCGGTGGCTGCCGGGAGCGATGACGCCGTTACCCTGGTGACGGCGGGGCGGGAGGGACCGGGGCGGAGCAGAAGTGGCTACTTCCGGTGGGGGCGGGGCCAGGCCGGAAGCGGCGGGAGGAGGAAGAGGTGAGGCGCGGGGGGCGCGGGGGGGACCCGGGGCGAGGGGATAGAGGGGTGGGGGTTCGGGGGATTTGGGGGGGATAGAGGGGTGGGGGTTCGGGGGGCAGGCGGGGGATAGAGGGGTGGGGGTTCGGGGGATTTGGGGGGATAGAGGGGTGGGGTTC